AATGTATGGCCAGAAATGATAGGTCTAAGAAAGATGTTTTTTAAGTAAAACATTTAAGAATGCAATGGTCTGTTGCAGTGTCGCAAATAACTTTAATGGTGATGAAAAAATGATTAAATGGCAGTAAAAAAATGACAAACAATGATTAGGTAATACTTGATTATCATTGTTAGCTTTCTGTCGTTATTACAAATATCATCCAATAATTTTCTATTTTCGCCCTAAATTCCTGTAATCTCCGTTGATAATGATTCAGCGAGAAATTGTATGAATTTGTAAATCATTGAATTCATTTCTTCTTAAATATAACATATTAATTTATAACAAATTAATTAAATAAATGATTGAATTCGTTTCTTCTCAAATATAACACATCAATTCATACCTATGCATCAGAAAATTTGAAAGAATTAATTTATACCTCAAAACATAATCGAATGAAAACTTTTATAATAATGAAAATGCATTAAAAGCTCTGTAAAATTTCTAATGTATTTCCATTATTTTTTCAGATAATTACTCAAAAGATAGTTTAATGAATAAGACTGATATTTTCTGATAGCTTTCATTTGCTTATCCATTCTTTTCCACGAAAGGTTGAAATTTAATTTCAACTCACTCTTTTTGAATAAATTATTCAATATTTCAGTATGAAATGTAAATCGAGAATTAATTATCACGTTGAATTTTAACCATTTTTGTTTTCCCTTTGAAAAATTAATACACACAGAAAATTAAAAGAACACTAATGATCATTTAAATGGATGACTGCTATTTTAATTGTTATGAATGTGAAAAGGACAAGAATACCAAAAGAACGCATCCAGAAATTAATAATTCAAATATTTCATCGTAGCAAGAAATGAATAGTTGCAATTTCAAAGTTTTGAAAAAAAAAATCAAATTCAATCGATTAAAGGCCAAGAAACGTACTCAACATGGAATATGCCAAGTTCGAGAAATGGTGTTTTTGCAGCTGTGATAGGAAAAGTAGGATTCTCATCAACGAACTGTCGCTGATTCCCATCAAAGAGTTCTTCCATATTTATTTCATCTTCTTAAAATGCAATATATCATATTAACGGTATTACTACATACAACCTTACATGACTTTAATGATGGAGTAATAGACTTAAAATGATTAAAATAATTTAGCAATGATTTTAAAATTATTAAATGAAAAAAATCCAGAAGCATAAAATAGTTCTTCCACTGCTGAAAATAATAATAATAATAATTAATTTTGGTAAATGATATAATAGAAATAATTCATTTTTATTATACAATTTCCAAGAATATTATTCCTTTCAAAAATGGATCATGCAAAGAGCTGATTCGTTACAAAATTATAAGCAATTTAAAGGAAAATATTCTTCCGGAAATCGAATTTTCAATTTTCAGAAGGAAGTATGAGAGATGCGGAATAACTGATTATCTGAAAATTAATCAAAATAGATTAACCTCTGAGTGATAAATCACATAAAAAAGAATTGTTCTATAAGTTAAATAAATCAAAATTTTCTTGTAAAAAAAAAAGAATCGATGAAATTAATGTAATATAATACTGTAAGTGAGATCGATCAAAATTACATCTCAATGTCCTGAAACAGAATTAATTAACAAATCTCGGGAGTTAATCCATTCTGATTAATTCTCGGATATTCTGTCGCTCCACATCTCTCACCTATTATATGGAATCACACGATGATTCACTTCCTTATGAAAATTAGACGAAAATGTAGAAGGAATCAAATTTCACTGTAAATAAGAAAAAGCTCGTGATAAAGTTCTAAAAAGTTAAAAAAAAAGCAAGCAAATGACTACGTGAAGATCCTGCGGGTGTAACAGTTGTATAGTTCTGTCTTTGTTAAATTATTTATTGATGCTTTCTTTATTACTTCAATGCTTTGTGTATGTGTATGTGTGTGTATGTGTGTATGTGTGTG